GCATCAGTGCCCGAATTCACATTCCACACTCAATGGCGCTACAACAACAACAACAACAATCGGCATCAACCGAAACCAGTACCTCCGTTCTGTCACCTTTGTAAGACGTCAGGTCACCCCCGTACACACTACCCAAACCGGCAGCAGTCAACGCCAACGCAGCGGCCGCTTCGCCCTTCAAGCAATCAAGTCGCCCTAACGCAAGCGAATCCGACCACTCAAGTACAAGCCTCAACAACATCGACGGGACAACCTGCGCAAGGAACAAGAAACATCGTCAGTTGCATGGCACGGCTGACCGACTCCTGCATCACAGAGTCACCACCGCATTACTCCGGAAGACCAACTCGACAACAGCACGCCTCGCCGCGAGTCACTTCAACCAAATCCGACGTATGCAGCCATAGCTCAAAGCGAGCCGTCCGGGAAAGATACGTGGTTCTTGGACAGCTGCTGCGGAGAGAACATGTGCTCTTCAGGACGCTTTGTTCAACGCGAACACCAACTTCAACGCGAGGTCGTCATCACCGTCGCCAACAATCAGAACCTGCGCACACGACGACAAGGCATAGTGCAACTTCAGTCACGAGAGACAAACGTCATACTGCAAATGTCAAAGGTTTTAATAGCAGAAGGGCTCGGTTACAACTTACTGAACGTCAGTCAACTGATGGCGAAGGGCATACACCTCGAAGCAGACAGCACCACTCAGGAGTTCAAGTTATACCACGGGAAGGGCGGCCTCTACATCGAGAAGGCGGTCCTGAAGAATAACGTCTTCGTCCTCAACTTCGTCTCAGATCTTGGCACCGCTGACAGCGACGGGATTGTCACCTTCACCTCGTAGACACATCCACCGGATCTCCACCCCGACTTCAGTCCAGAAGGCTTCTGGTACTCGCACACCATTCCTAAGGCAGAACGAACAAGAGCATTAGCAACGATTCAACAATCGGCAGCAGCAGAGAATACATCGGCAGCAGCAGAGACAACATCGGCAGCAGCAGAGACAACATCGGCAGCAGCAGAGACAACACCGGCAGCAGCAGAGACAACAACAGCAACATCAACACCAATCGCTGGTCCTTCAACGGCACCAATCCTCATCGACGACACTTCACCAACTCCTGCACAGCAGCTGAACCCAACTCAACGGGAAGTCCATCAAAGCGCCAACTTCACCGCCAGCTTTTACTCCAACTCCGACCTATATCGGCGCTCACCCGGACATCGCGCCACCGAAGACATCTGGCACGCACGAATGGGACATCCAAGCAACACGGTGTTAAACAACACAATCAGAGCAGGCGTGCTCGATAAAGATTCACTGCTCCTAACCGACGGAAGCGAACTTCGACGAGCTCGCGGAACGTGCTCTACCTGCCCCGAAGCTGACTTACCACATCGGCCGTTCGCTTCTCACCACAATCCCAGCGCACCAGCTTACGCACCACTCGAGAAAGTGTACAGCGACATCCTGTACAACCGCGAACCTGGACAAGGAGCATACAGCTACACCATCACGTTCATCGATGCCGCTACGCGATACGTTTGGCACCTCAACCTACCGAGTAAGGACATGGCCTTCGAGGCCTTCGTCGCTTGGCTCCCAGTAGCAGAACAAGAATCGGGCGTGAAGCTAAAAAGCTTCTAGTCAGACGGAGGAGGAGAATACACCTCACAGAGGTTCAAGCATTACTTGGCAGAAAGAGGGATCAAGAGGCTCATCTCTCTTCCCTACGCTCACCAGCAGCAAGGCGTAGCAGAAAGGATGAACAGGACTCTCCAGAACACCATGCGCAAACTGTTACGAGGCATGCGACTGCCCAACCACCAGTGGCCCGAAGCCATGGACCACGCTGTCATGCTGCACAACTTGCTCTCGTCATCATCGCTCCCGAACAATGCATCACCGCATCTGCTGTGGACAGGAAAACAGGGCAGCACAAAAATGTTAAGAGTTTTCGGCTGCATGGTACAGTACCGACCCCCATCTGCACGAGCCGGCCGATTTTCCCAACGCGCACAGTGGGGACTACACCTGGGCATTGAAAGACATTACAACGCGTGGAAAAATTTCGATGTCCAGTCCAAGGAAAGAGTAGCAGCACGTGATGTCATTTTCTACGAACGACTCACCCTTTTGACGTACCTTGCCAACCTGGAAGAAGATCGGGACCCCACAGGTGGTTTCTGTGGTGACCGAGCCTTCGCCTCGGCAGCAGACAAAGCTGACTGGGACGAGCAGAACGTGGATGCAGCCTCGGAGGAAGCCGGACCTCTCCCTTACTGCTCCGTCGACGTCCCAATGGAAAAACCTCGCGACAGCATCAACGCTGAAGTACTTTACCACTTCGCCGACAACGGTTACGTTACACCTGCAGAAGTCAACACCAACGAAGCAGAACGCATAGGGCCCAACTTCATACCTGACCCAGAAGCAGGTGACGAAGCAGCTTATCCCGCGGACACAACACTCCCCCGCTACACACAGAGTGGCCTCCAGATACTCGGCCTCGTCACCGCGGTCCACGGCACGGAGATTCCTAAGGAGCCTGCCACAGTTCAGCAGGCTCTGGGGGGGGAGCATAGGGAAAAATGGCGTAAAGCCATGGACAGGGAACTTAAAGCACTGGAGGAACGCAACACCTGGAAAGTCGTTCCCATCGGCGTGGCACGAAACAAGACAGTACTCGCCGGGAAATGGGTCTTCCGTGTGAAGACAAAGGCAGACGGCACCATCGACAAGTTTAAGGCGCGCTGGGTCGTACGCGGCTTTGACCAAGAACACGGATGCGACTTCACCGAGACATTCGCCCCGGTCAGCCGACACACCTCGTTGCGAATTCTCCTCGCAATCGCCGCCATGAAGAAGAAGAAGCTGCGGCAAATTGATGTCGCCAACGCTTTTCTCTACGCACCTGTCGACGCATAAATCTTCGTCGAACTACCACATGGCTCCAACGGAGAACCTAATCATGTATGTCAGCTGCTGAAGTCATTGTACGGCATCAAACAGGCCCCGAGACTGTGGCAGCAGTACCTACACGCTCGGCTCATTCGCATTGGATTCCGCCAACTATTTCACGACCAGGGCATGTATCGGCTCACAAAGGGCACCGACTACATCCTACTGATCATCTACGTGGACGATATATTCTACATCGGCTCGACCGACAACGTCACTACCTGGTTCGAAGGGGAGCTACAGAAGGATCTCACGCTCACGGTCTCGTCCACCGTCATGCAGTACCTCAGTCTCAACATCCAGGAAGAAGAAGGCGCGATCTACCTCAACACCGCGAAATACGCCGACACCATCGCCAAACGCTTCGCACTCACACCAACTACCATCTCCACGCCATACCGCTATACGGAAGGAAATCACAAGGAAGGCCCCACTCCACTCAATCCTGCCGGGATACGCGACTACCAGAGGAAGCTGGGATTCCTTCTCTTCGCAGCTGTCACCTGCCGCCCGGATCTATCATACTCTGCAAGTCAACTCGCCACCTACCTTAAAAGGCCTGAAGCTGAACACATGGCAGAGCTCGACCGTGCTCTTCACTACTTCGTTAGCACGCCAACGATCGGCCTGGCCTACTACAAGAACGGAACTACAACGCCTAAGTTAATCGGCTACGTCTTCGCCGACCACGCCGGAGATTCTGACAACAGGCGCTCGCGCACAGGCTACATCTACCGCCTCGGGCCTATCGGACCTATCTCGTGGCAATCAAGCAAGCAGGAATTAATCGCTCTCTCCTTAGCTGAAGCAGAATATATCGCACTCTGCTCAGCCACCAAGGAAGGATTGTACCTTCGCGAACTCTTGGAGGAAGCAAAGCTGGCTCAGTTACCCAGCTTCACTCTGTTCTGCGACAACTAGTCGGCAATTCGCATAGCCAACAAAAACGGATTCGCGAACAGGACGAAGCATATCGCCCTGCGATATTTCTTCGTGAAAGACAAGATCGAGAAGGGGAGACTCGAGTTATCCTACTGCCCCACATCCGAGATGGCAGCTGATTACTTGCCCAAGAAGCTCGGAAAGCAGAAGTTCGAGTACTGCATGCTGCTAACTGGACAGAGCCACGTCACCAGCAGCGACACTCCAGAAGCGAAGGGGAGTGTTGGAAACAATTAACTTAAGCGCCTCTATCGTGTCGAAACACCAAGTCAGAAGCGAAGCGAAACATATCGAAGCATCAGCGAGTCAACCCTCGGAGGTTGAGCAACTACTGGAGGTTACGCGAAAGTCAAAGGTCAGCGACCTTTGACCTGACAAGTACAGCGCGACAGCAAGGACAAACAACTGACTCGCTATTGAGCAGTTGCCCGAGTCGTCACTGTATCGAACCGCAACAGCAACAGCAAAACAGTTATTAATTATAACCCTTCATATTCCCTTGTACTCTTATAAAAGGCTTGTATCTCTTTGTTTTAACCAATCTACTTTGGCCTCACACACCAGCGCAAGGTGGTTCACAACCTTTCATTAAACGCTTCCGCTATTACATCAGTCCTACCAGGAATTTAGTCCTGCAAAGATCCTAAGGGCTTTTTCAGCCCAACACCAACCCCCCTGTGCCCACGAACCAGGAAAACAAAACTCCAGAAAATCGGAGACCTCGCGTTCAGGCCCCCAAACTTGTACTGAGTGGTCAATTACTCTCCCGCCGTCCTTTCTGTTGTGAGGACTCTGAAGGATCAGACCTGTACCTGTCTTACTATTGATTTACTGGTCTGAAAAAACTACTACGGTAACAAGACTTAGTCAGAAATTCAGACAGCTAAATTTCCTTGGTCTGAAAATTCAGACCTGGCCTAAAAAACTGGTCTGTATTTTAGATTCTAGACTATCACGGTAACCATCAAACTACCTGGTACCATCCAAACAAAACCTACCAACAACACCAGCAATCTACGGTACACTTGCCCCCTAGAATCTTCCTTCCTTCACCTATCCTTTCCGCTACTCCTCCCAGCCATCCATCCCCTCACCGAAGGCCCTGCAGGTCGATCACATTCTGCCTCGCCAGCAGCGACTGAGGCACATAGCTGAGCTCGCAGCACCCCGCCACTATCACCTCCCTCAACCTACCCACACCTCCCAGCCCCTCCGGCAGCGCCCGCAGCTCCTCACAGTCTTCCAGTGAAAGAATCACCAAGGTGGGGAGGAGGGAGAGGGAGTCTGGCAGGCGGCGCAGGCGGGGGAGACAGTTGAGCTTGAGGGAGGCGAGGCGGGGGAGGGAGCCGATGGAGTCGGGGAGAGAGGCGAAACTCTTGCAGTCGGCGACGGAGAGGAGGATGAGGGAGGAGAGGAGGCCGATAGATGCAGGCAGTCCCACCAGCGCGTCACAAAACTCCACAGTGAACTCTTTCAGGGCCTTCAGCTGCGTGAGATTCTCGGGCAGGCGTGCCAGCTGCGGGAGGGCTTTCAACACGAGTTTTTCAAGGCTGGAGAGGTGGGCTAGGGACGCGGGGAGGGAGGTCATGACGGAGAAGTCCTCGACAATGAGTGCTTTGAGGCTTCCCAGCTCGCGCAGGTTGCTGGGCAGTGAGGGCAGGCCAGATTGCACCACGGCAAGGTGCTGCAGGGACGAGAGGAGCGCTAGGCTGGCACGGGGACCGGGGTGGGGATCGATGCGAAAGCCAAAGATGGGATGGGTGTCCGTACCCGCCTCGCAGTCGCCCAGTAGGTCCTCCGGTGGGGCGCCGTTGGGAGGAGCAAAGAGCGCCTGGAGACCGAGGAGTTCGTGAAGGTTGAGATGGGTGAGGCGCGTGAGGGAGAGGAAGGAGGGTGGGAGGTAGAGGGACTCGAGAAAGACGCTTGAGAGGGAGATGGTGGTGATGGAGTGGGGGAGGGTGAGTGGTACGGTGAGCGAGAGCCAGTCATGAGCAGAGCCGAGGGCAATGCAGTCGTCCAGCGTGATGCGCTCCAGCCTGGGCAGCTCATGCAGGCCGTCCGGCAGGCTTGTGAGGCGAGGGCAGTTGGCGATCTCCAGGGTGTGAAGCATTGGGAGCGGAGAGGGACGAGCGGCAGGGCAAGTAGAGGGGCAAGACGGAGCACCAGGGGCAGGCACAGCGGCAGCAGGGGCAGCAGAGGCGGCACGCCCCCCAGGTGTGGAGGTGGAGGTGGGAGGAGGAGCGGGCAGGAGGGAGGGGAAGCAGCTTAGCTGCGGGCAGTTCTTGACGCGCAGCACTTGCAGCCCAGCCAGGAGGGCCAACCCCTGTGGCAGGATGTCCAGCTCGTCACACCCGTCCATGAGCAGCTGCTGCAGACACGTGAGCTGGGAGAAAGACGCCGGGAAGCTGCGCAGCAGGCAGCGCCCCAAGAGCGGTTCATTCAGCGTGGCCGGTGAGGGCCCCGTGGGGCACGCAGGTGACGCGGGCTGCTCTGAATCCGCGCCGTTCCTCGTGTAACTCTCCCTGCTCCCCACCTTGAGAATCTCTAGTTTTGGCAGCTGCCCGAACCTCTCCGGCAGGTTCGGCATGGCGCAGTTGAAGAGCTACAGGCGGCGCAGCTGCGGGAGCTGCTGGAAGTTGGGCGGCAGGGAGATGAGCGACGTTCCCCCGTAGATGGCTAGGGTTTCAAGCGAAGAAAGATTTGTGAATGACGCGGGCAGCTCGAGTAGCCCGTAGCAGGCGTGGAGCCTCAAGTCATGCAGCTTCCCGAGCTGCCCGAACGACCTGGGCAGGGCGGTCAGTCGCTCGCAGGACAGCTTCAACCGCACCAGATTCGACAGCTGCCCATAATCCTCGGGCAGCGCACACGCGGCACAGCCATCGAGTGTAAGGCGGGCGAGGGACGTGAGGGCGGAGACCGAGCGCGGGAGAGCCACAAGGCGGCGGCAGTGGACGACCTTCAGCTCGCGCAGCTGCGACAAGCATCCCAGGGAGTCGGGAAGCGCGCTGAGGGCGTCGAGAAAGCTGAGGTCGATGCTTTCGAGGGTGGGGATGTGGCCGAGGGCGTCCGGCAGGGCTGAGAGCGCTTGGCAGTCGTGGAGAGAGAGGCGCTCGAGCGTGCTGCTGGCAGAGAGGGACGGCGGGAGGTGCTTGAGGCGAGCGTTGTCTTGAATTTTGAAGTCACGCAGTGCGGGCAGCTGACCAAAAGATTCTGGGAGGGCAGAGAGGGCAAGTAGTGCTCCCAGATGGATGGTGCGCAGATTCGGCAGCTGATGGAAGTTTTCGGGCAGTTTTGCTAGCTCATGGAGGAGCTGGCGCTGAGGAATCTGGAGCTGCTAGAGGTGCTGGAGCTGCTGGGGGTGCTGGAGCTGCTGGTGCTTGTGGCACTGCTAAGCCACCGTCTGACTCTGTGCTTCGCCAGGTTCTTAGTCTCCCTTCGTCTACTGGTCTTCCGTTACAGCCTGGCTCACCGCTGCCTGCTCCTTCTCCTTACACTGAGCTGACAGGCGGTCTTACTGAGCGTCGTGAGCCTGCGTCGCGTACTGTCTCGCCTGTCCGTTCTGGTCGTTCCGGTCGTTGTGTTCCTCGTTCGCGTCAGCCGGCTGTCCCCGGCACCCACCTCGTAGTCCGTCATCCTTCCTCTCCTCCGCAGCGTGTTCCCCTACTGTCCCCTCCTGCGTCTTCTCTGCCTACCGTTCCTGAGCCTGAGTCTGACCGCACCCGTGCTGCTCACCCTACTGTCACGCGTCTGCTAGCCACAGTTGTCACTGACCCGTCGTTTGAGTCTGCTGCTGCGTCTGCCTTAGTTGCTGAGCTTGTTGACTTTGCAGCTGCTTGTCGCCTAGACTACGCCGCTAGTCTTGTTGCTGAGTCTGAGTCTGTCTGTCCTCCGTCCGTCGGGGGTGAGTGTGCTCTTGGCACGGACGTCCTTGAGGACATGCACAAGGACCTTGAGTGTCTTGCAGCCGCTGCGCCTCATCTCGTGTCCATGCTGATTGCACCTGAGGGAGACCCGGATGCTCCAGACATCCCGACCCCGCGCTCTTACGCTGAGGCGATCGCGGGTGAGTACTATTGTCAGTGGCAGACAGCCATGGACGCAGAGATGGCATCCTGGAAGTCCACACGCACTTACGTCGACGAGGTTCCCCCTCCTGGGGCGAACATCGTCAGTGGCATGTGGATTTTCAGGGTGAAGCGGCCGCCAGGTTCTCCGCCTGTCTTCAAGGCTCGTTACGTTGCTCGAGGTTTCAGTCAGCGAGAGGGAGTTGACTTCTTCCAGACCTTCTCCCCCACCCTAAAGATGACCACTCTTTGGGTACTGCTGCACGTTGCCGCTCAGCGTGACTACGAGCTGCACTCTCTTGACTTCAGCACAGTTTTCTTACAGGGCAGCCTGCACGAGGACATCTGACTGCGCCGCCCTCCTGGCTTCACTGGGTCTTTCCCTCCTGGTACCCAGTGGAGCCTCCGGCGGCCGGTCTACGGTCTTTGCCAGGCGCCACGTGAGTGGCACGACACACTGAGGACGACACTTGCTGCTCTTGTGTTTGCTCCGTCGACTGCTGACCCGTCGCTGTTTCTGCGCACCGACACTTCGCTGCCGCCGTTCTACATCCTCGTGTACGTCGACGACTTGGTCTTTGCCACTGCTGACACTGAGGCTCTCGCCCTGGTGAAGTCGGAGCTGCAGAAGAGACACACGTGCACAGACCTGGGTGAGATGCGCAGCTATGGCTTGTAGATCACCCGTGACAGAGCACGCTGCACCATCACACTGACTCAGTTACACATGGTGCAGCAGGTTCTTCAGCGCTTCGGCTTCACCTGGTTCTCGCCACAGTACACTCCTCTGGCTACAGTTCACTTGCTCTCAGCTCCACCTTCGGTCGAGTCCGTAGAACCGAGTGGTCCTTACCCAGAGCTACTGGGCTGCCTCATGTACCTGATGACCTGCACTCGTCCTGACCTTGCGTACCCTCTTGGCCTTCTGGCTCGCTACATGGCTCCTGGTCGGCACCGAAAGGTGCACATGGATGCTGTTAAGAGGGTACTGCGCTACTTGTGCAATACATCGGGCATGGGGCTCGTGCTTGGAAGGCGGAGCCCAGTTGTCCTCACTGGGCACTCGGACGCTTCTTGGGTTGACGACCTGGCTACGCAGCGGTCGTCACAGGGTTACACCTTGAGCCTTGGCTCTGGCTCTGTTTCTTGGCGGTCTACACGCTCGTCCTCTGTTCTTGGCTCTAGTTGTGAGGCTGAGATCTACGCCACAGCCATGGCTGCACAGGAGCTACGCTGGCTCACCTACCTGCTGACCGACTTGGGAGAGCGGCCTCGTTCTCCTCCAGTGCTGTACGTCGACAACAAGGCCGCCATTGCCTTGTGTCAGGAGCACAGACTGGAGCACAGAACGAAGCACATTACTCTGCGTTGCTTCCTTGCTCGAGAGTTGCAGCAGCGTGGTCAGCTTCGCCTTGCTCACATGGCCACTCGGGCCAACACTGCTGATATATTCACCAAGGCACTTCCGTCTGGTGATCATCAGCGTTTTTGTACTTTGTTAGGCCTTGTGCCCACGTATTCTCACTTGCATGTGAACTGGCCTTGTGGCCCTTTGCTTGTGCTCAGTGTGTGTGGTGACGTTGTGATCCACCCAGAGGTTGTTTTGCTTCTCTTGACTGCTCTGGTGACCCCTTGTTCTCCCCCACTTTGCCTATGGGGGTGAGTCAAAGTATATGCATGTTATATGTGTGTAGGCTGTAGTGGGGTAGCCAATATGGGGTACAGCCCCGTTTAGGGTTTCATACTTGTACCCAACTCTTCAATAGTGCATTCATTCCTGCTGCTAGATTCTAACACAGGGATCTGCCACATCTCGTTGTAGACGTCCCTATCCTCGTGAAGGTCCCATAAAATCCGCTCGCCAAGCCTCGCGGTGTAGGTCTTGGCTCCCTTAGAGTTCGTGTCCATGCCGGCCTTTGCTAATCGCCGCACGGAAATCAGGTTGGCTGTAAGGCTGGGCACCCAAAGCACGTTCTTGAGGCCCACCATCTTCCCATCAGCACCCTTAAACATGGCTTTGCCAATGCCTTTCACCTCTGCTCGCTGCCCCAAAGCTGATGTGACATGCTTCACCGGTGACGGTTCAAGTTCGGTGAGCAAGTCCGCGCGAGGTGTCATGGTATATGTAGCGCCGCTATCGATCACCCAGTAGTCCAGGGGGTGTAGGGTGACCTTTCCCACAGCTGCAGGCTCTTCAAAGTCTTCATCCTTCTCTGGTGCAGCCGGTGATTGCGTTGACACAAAGTAGAATTGACCCGGGTACCGATCACCGCTCGGGTCCTTGTCGTTATCTTCGCTCTTCATGTTTGGAGCACCGCCTCCGCGACCGCCACGGCCTCCACGACCTCTTCCTCTCCCTCCTCCTGCTCCTCTACCCTCTTGGCCTTGAGCAGGGGTCCAACCATCACGGAGTTTGTAGAAGTTGTGCCACATGTGTCAGCTCTTGTGGCAAAAGTGGCACTCGCCGTCGAATCGGCCGCGACCGCGTCCATAGCTCTTGTCGTCGCTGCCATAACCACCACTCCCGCGGCCTCCACTGAAGTTGTTGCTGCCAAACCTTCCTCCCCCTCGTCCTTTGCCTCTTCCTCGGCCATATCCACGGCCGATGCTCACTGCCCCAGCGCCATCCGCACTCGCCAACTCACGGCGGCGGAAGTCCTCTTAAAGGATCCCGCGTTTCACGTCTTCAAGCGAGAGACGGGGCAGATCACGGTTCAAGTTGGTGATGAGCGAGGACCACGATTCCGGGAGTAAGGCCAGCAACTTGGTCTTCTTTTGGAGCTCACTGTAGTTTAAGTCAGCTCCTTCAAGCCGCGTCAACAGGTCGAAGAATTTCTGCACCCCTTCTTCAACCGCTTCATCCTCTTCAATTCGTAGTGTCGCCATTTGCCGTTCCAACACCACCGCTACCGCCGCTGTTGCAAGAATGCGTACACCCTTGAGAGCAGCCCATGCCTTTGGTCCCTTCTCTGGTTCACGCTGGAATGGCTTGATGTGACGGATTTGGCTGCTCCCCAACGCTTGCCCAAGTAGGAGATAGCCTTGTGCGCTCTTCCGCACCCACGGGCTCTCCTCCGGGTCGTTCTCGGGGCACTTCTCCGCTCCTTCCATCATCTCCAGCAGGTCATAGTGGTCAAACACGTTCACCATCTTGAAGGACCACTCAGCAGAGTTATCACCGTTGAACTTGTCAAGCCCGAACACTCTTGGTTCATCCCTAGAAGGTCCAAGAGTAGGTTGCACAGGCGCCATGGCTGAATCACGGGGTTGACCTTGTGCTTGGGGTCCTCCACTGCCTCGAGCACCTCTTTCACCCCTTTCTTCAGGTCCAGCCATCGTCGTAGCTGCTCCAAGGCGCTCTGATACCACTTATTATAGTCACAGGAGGCTTCAGTGTGCCTAAAACGAAAGATAGAGTGCACAGTCGGATTTCTGCACAGCGGCTTTAAACGTTCATAGCGTTCTGGTCATAGCTTCAAATGAACTGATTCAACTTGGATTTGGAGTGTCTTAACGTCGCCTACATTAGATCGCATGATTTCACCTAGTATTAAGGACACAGCATCGGTTTGAACGAACGGCATTATGGCAGCCACTATAGTCTTAGAACACAAGATAGGAAGAGTTACGAGTTGGGAATGACTCCCAGCTCCTACAAACCCCAAGAGCTGAGGTACAGTGATGTGGAACAGTGCCACACTGTCCCCAACCACGAAGGGTCTCGAAACTACCCTTCACTAGGGCCTACACCAAGTGAAATGTTACACTACACAAAGTAATTTAACTATCTCAATATCTTGAGGTGTACCCTTTTCGCGGGCTTCGCGATCACTTGAATCTTGACACGAAGGCTCTGGTCCTTTACCACAGACTCATACTTGAGTTCTTGATGGGTCTGCTGCACACACCTGCGACACGCCGAAGGCTCCACACACACGATTAAGTAGAAACCGTCCACGAGACACACGACAAAATAGAAATCGCGCACGGGACACAAACGACCGCGAGACACGCGACTAGCGATAACTCGCTATTGACTCGACACACACACTCGACATCATGACTCAACATTCACACATTATGATAAGCATGAAATATATATTATCCCATGCCCTTATACCATTCCATGCAC